GTCGAAACTGCATTTATTTTCAACATACTCTCCTGCTACATTTATGCACTTATCCCAACGTTTAACTAATGCCTGGAAAGCTTCGGCATAGAAAGATGTACTGGAGAGCCGGCTTCACTTCATCATCATTGTGTTCACTGCTCCCACAGAAAGATTCGTCTCTTGTGCAATTTCACAACAGGTTATGTGTCGATTATCCAGGATCAGGCGTTCCATGCAATGAATGTACACAGGAATGACTGCTGTGGGCTGGGAACCACCACGGCCGGGATCGTCACTGACGGATGTACGGCCATCTTTGAAATGTTTACACCATTCAAATATCCTAGTGTGGCTGAGCGTCTCATCACCGTACTGTGCTTGAAGTCTTCTGTAGATATTCGCAGGTTTTTTACACCTTCGTCACAAGAAACTTCATCACCACACTCTGTACCTTGCACGCACTAGTACTGTTTTCTGCCATCTTGATTACCGGTCTCTGGACTGGCCTGTTAGTAATCGGACACTTGCCACTTAATACTGCATGTAGTACTGCCACACAAGCATCCCTTTTTATACCTGGAAAATTAAAAGTCCCAGTTTGAACGCCCCTCGTATTTTAATATCTCAAAACACATCAGTATATGAGAAATGTATACCCAGGCTGTAATGTAATCACAATATGTTTATGCAGCTTTCTATACCATTTTTAATTTTTTTTTTTTTTTGCAACAAATAAAATTTGTATTTTTTTTTTATATCTATGTAGGTGCAATGCCTGAAAAGTCCTGTTCCCAATTATGCTTTTACTTTATATTAGAACTTAGGCATGATGGCATTCACTGAGGAGTGGAAACAATGATTTCTGCACATTTAGACCCAGGGTTCCTGTGAGATTTTGGTGGCCGGTTTGGATGCAGATTGGCTATAATCACAATCTGCATCACAAAGGGGCACTTGAGTTCAGGTTAGAGACAGGAACTCATTTTGGCAGGGACAGAGAGGTCCTGGATTCTGCTTTGCCCTATGGGTGGGCAACAAGGAGGATCATCCTTGCATTCAAGACCCCTTGAGGACATCCTTGAATTCAAGACCCCTGTGGGTTATGTCAGTGGGCGAGGACCACCTGGAAGAAGGTTGTATAGCTCCCCTTCCATGGCAAATCCTTTTGCCCTAAAAACTCATTTACAAGAAACTGTGAGTAGTTGCTAGAAAAGTAGAGCTAAAATCTGCAAAAACTTACCTCCCCAGGATGGTCGAGCATTTGCGAGGTCTCTGGTTGGCGCTGGCATCTTCTCCCAGCTGCTTCCGAGTGCTGGTCTTCTACCATCTTGATTGGCCGGCATGGGATGATGTAACTCCTGTGCACGCTCATGAGTTCAGTCATCCCGGAACATTGGCACCATGCTGGAAATGTACATTTCTGCAAAAACCGGACCTACCTGCCTGCACCTAGTGTTCTGTAGAATATAGAAGAGACATTGCCTGTTTCTTCAGCAATCAATAGCCTGCTTGCTCCTAAGCTGTTTAGTTTTAACTTTGGTTTCCCTTTCGGGCCTTGTTCACATGGGCGGCTGGGAGGCAGTAAAAAAAGGTGCTTGAGCCACCATTTAAACATCTGCCTAAAAGATAGCATGCAGGCGCTAAGGAATTGTACACATGCTGCAGCAAAAAAAATGACACCCCCTGACGTATCTGGCAGGCAGTACTGCTGCAAAACGCGAACCATTCAAGTAAATAGGCTTGCATCACAATGGTTATTGCATAGTATTTGCATAAAAAAATCTCCATTTGGCTGTAAAATACATTGAAAAAGTGCATTCAGGAGATAACTGTATCAGCTCCTGAACGCCGGACACAGACTCTGCTCTACCACCCTCTGAAAAGTGATCCACCATGGACTACTTTTTAAAAGGACAGCAAGCTGCTGCCCATGTGAATGAGTCCTAAGGTAGGCTCTGGATATTCCCATTGCTCTGGAAACATTTTGGATCCAAAGTTAAACCTGCCCTATACTGTTATCAAAGTGGAAAGGGAGTACGAGAAGTGACAATTTAATTCCCAGAATGGACTGTAAAAAAGAAATGTTTGCTTAGCCATACACTAGCGGCTATTGTCACCATCAAAGTAGTTCTTTTGTGAAATGATGCAGTTTTTCTAGACGACTATGCCATTGCTGGAAACATTTCTGGAATTCATGTTTTGGAACGCTGCACAGTAGCTTTGTCGCGGCGTGCTGGATGTCTGGAATGTCATCAAATCAGAGTCCCCTTTAGACCTTGTTCACACCATACGTACGTGAAAACTGATGGAAAAAAAAACCGCACACATTTCACTTGCCAATCACAGCTAATCACAACAATGCACACTAAATAAATCAATTTCATTCAGAAAAAAAAATGGTTGCTTATAATAGTTAACCTCACTGTTAGAAGCAATAATGTTTTAAAAAAAAAAAAATCTTGATCACTTCCACAGACTAGTACAATGTTTCTATGATAATACTGTATTGCTCTGGTCACAGTATAAAAAAAATTGTAAATGAAAAGGGAAAAATGTAATAAAAAAGAAAAATAAATTAAAGAAAATTGTTATATTATAATATATATATATTTTTTTACATACTGCCACCAGTCAGTGTCCCTGATCACTGCCACCCGAGTTATATGATGATGCTGTACTGCACTGCTGACAGTATGTAAAACAAAAACAACTGCAAAATAAACTATTTTTATTTTTAATGTCTTTGTTTTTTGCAAAAAATTGTAACAAAAAAATGACAACTGTAAGAAACTCTCCATGCCTCTTACTAAATACCTTGGATTGTCTACTTTCCAAAAAGGGGTTATTTGGGGGAGATATTTGTACTGTCCTGGCATTTTCAGGCCTCAAGAAATGAGATCAGCCGTCAGTACATCAGGATTGACCCCTTTTCATATATATCCCATAGTTTGTGGACTCTATAACTTTCCTACAGGCTACATAATAAACACTGATTTGGGTTAGTTTCACCAAAGAAATGTAGCAGAATACAGTTTGGACTAAATTTATGAAAAAAAAAATTTATTTGTAAAATTTTAAAACAGAAATGAAGAAAAACGTGTTTTTTCTTCAAAACATTTGGCCTTTTTTCATTTATTTGGCAAAAAATAAAAAACCCAGTGGTGATTAAATTCCACCAAAAGAAAGCTCTATTTGTGTGAAAAAAATGATACAAATTTCATATGGGTACAGTGTTGCATGACCGCGCAATCGCCAGATATAAAAATAGCGTAGTGCTAAATAGGAAAAAGTGGTTAACAAACCAAAAGAGTATAAATAAGAAGTCCATTGTTAGGGTTTGCAGACAGTCATTGGAAGGTGTTGTCATTGTTTAACCCCTTGCCTACCAGGCACTTACTGTACCAGTGGATAAAAGTGTATTTGCTTTGGAAGAATAAATCACCTCTAATGTTGGGTGTCCTACATGTGTGGATGTTGACACACTATGTAAAAGTATTAGAATAGGTTTTTACATTTTAGAACGGGGTGCCCTTTTAAAATTGAGGACAGTCTAGAGCCAAGGTGTCAAACTCCATTTTTTGGTGGGCCGCATCAGCATTATGGTTTCCATTAAAGGGCCAGTTGCATCTGTAAGACTAGATGTCCAGAGCACCCCCTTTCCTGCTGAAGCTGGGAAGAAGCTGGAGGCAGAGCTGGGAAGCAGAAAGTGCAAGGTATGGAGGAGGACCAGAGGAGGGATGGAGTCATCTGCTGGAGTCTGTTGAATGCTGAGACCAGGGGAGGCAAAGATGAGGGGGTGCTGTGGCTGCACAGAGAGGTGCAGGATCTGTAGAAGGAGTTCTGTCCTCCTCCCTGCTACTGACTGCCGAGACCGAGGGGGGGTGGGGGGGGGGGGGGGGGGGGGGGGGGGGGGGGGGGGGGGGGTGGGGGGGGGGGGGGGGGGGGGGGGGGGGGGGGGGGGGGGGGTTGCAAAGATGAGCCTCTTGCAGGAGCATGGAGAAGCGCAGGATTTGGTGGAGAAGTTCTGTCGACTGCTGTGACCGGGGGGGGGGGGGGGGGGGGTGTTGCAGAGTTGAGCCTCTTGCGGGTGCATGGAGAAGCGCAGGACTTGGTGGAGGAGTTCTGTCCTCCTCTCTTCTGTCGACTGCTAAGACAAAGTGGAGACAAGGGGGGTGCCATTGCTGCAGGAGAGGTCTGAGGGCCACATGAAATGGCCTAGAGGGCCGGACTTGCCTCAAGACTGTCTATAATCTATAATTTTACAGGGTGCCTTGACTGAAAAAGGTTGAGAAACACTGGATTAAATTATAACTAGGGGCAAAACCTTTTTTTTTTTTTTTTTTTAAGTTTTGGACGGAGTGTTGAGGGACCAGAACCCGCGTCAGTTTTTTATTGCTGTCTGTGTCCCCATTAGGGAGATTCACCCTATTTGTCCTGTATATCATTATCAGTGAAAGTATTAAAAAAAAAATTGGGTTGTCCCCAGAAAAGTAACAAAGAGGAAATCTTCCAATGGGGGACACTAGTTCTGGTGACAACCAGGAATTCCCTTAATTCTCAGGGATTTTCTCTCACTTCCTGTTGGCTATGGGACAGGAAGTGAAGGGAAATCTCTGCAATAGGCCACTGATGGTGAAAAAAAAAAAAATCTGACAGGGGTTATAACCCTTCCTTGTGCTATCCAAAATGTAAAAAAAAAAAAAAACTTTTGCCTATAGTTCTACTTTAACTTCTAATAGGTTGCTATGGGTTACTGCAAGGAAAACTGCGTGTGGTAATAGAGAAGCTGCATTCTGAAAAATAGACACTAGATGGCGATGTGCTCTTTGTGTAAATTGATCACGTGATCCTTCCTTTCCACACGTGAGTTTTCCTCAGCGCCCCTCTGGCTTCTTATTGGGCGACGTCAGTGAGTGCTCTCCTCCTATTGGTTAGGGCTGCTGCCCCTCTTAACGGCCTGTGCGCCCTGCTTAGGTGAAGGGGATTCTCCAAAGACATCGCAGAGAAGGCGCCCGAGGATGGAGATGTCGTACCAGGCCATTAAGAGCGCTTCCCAGAGCAGAGAGGCGGTAAGATGCGGCATGGACACTATTCCCAGCCACCGTGTGGAGAGCGGGGCGGGAATGGCTTCTTGATTACCATGGATACTGTATCTGCGGGTTGGCATGGGAACAGGCATGCTGTCTCAGTTGCGCATGCGTAGTTGACTTCTATCGGCCTTCGCACTACATGGTCATTGGCAGGGGCGGACTGACAACTCATGGGGCCCCCGGCAATAGGGGATCATGGGGCCCCTGTGTCCTTGCCCAAACTCAAAAAAGCCTATGAAAAAGCTACCAGGGGCATCTCATGGGGCCCCCTACTGACCCCCTTGCCCTCGGGCAGTGCTTGAGTTTCCAAATGGTCAGTCCGCCCCTGGTCATTGGTAAAGAGATGGTACAATCAGGTTGTATGTGTGTGGACGATTCCGGCACAGGCACACACCTATGCAGTTTTGGCAACTCATGTGGTTTCCGTGGAAACATTTAATCAAATGCATTACAGCGCAATTTATATTGAACATCAACATGCGGTGCAACGCGTTAATCATGCGTCGATGAGCATTGCGTTGTCAGGAAGTTGCGTTTGCAGCGATTTCAATAGAAAAACCCAAAACATACAACTCCTTAGCTTTGTATTGCACCCATTTGTGGTGCGTTCACCGAAATGAATGGGCTGCCCTGTATGCGACATGCGGAGCGCACATAGAAAGGACCCGCGTCTGCAGAAATGTGCGCCAAACCGTACTCTATCCTAACTGGTGAATTGTAAAACAGTCTGGCTATTAGTTCTACTTTAGGCTCCTTTCACACTTGTGCGACTTGTCATGTGACTGCGGACACAAAGTCACATGACGAGCTGCAGCCCATGTATTTCAATGGAAGCCATTCAAATCATTGCGACTTCACAGAGATTTTAAAAAGGTTCCTGCACTGCTTTGATGCAGCTTCCATGCAGCGTGAGTGCCATAGACTGCAATGTCAATTAAAAGTTGCAAGTGAGTCACATTGCATAGTCGCACTGGAAATCACGTGACAATGCGGTCGCAGCAGTCTGCACCGAGGCTTACAGATTCATGTGGTTCCATCAACAATAATGGCACCCCATGCATCTGCTAAAGTGCAGCGTCGGTTTCTCTTTGTGTATCTGTGCGTTTTCTGACGCTCACGCTCAGAGATGTGGAACCTAGCCTGAGGGAGGGCTCTAACCCTATGTCATGTGGGGGTTTGTTTTGTTTTTTTGCCATTTGTGTCCTATTAAGATTTCTCTTCACTTCCTGTTCCTTAACCCAACCAGGAAGTGGGAGGAAATCCCTCCAAAGTGAGGGGATCACTGGTTTGTCACCAGAAGTGGCGTCCCCATTGGAAGATTCCCCCTCTGTTTCCTTTTCTGGTGACAACCCAAAATGTGGGATTTTCTTATTGGCCTCTGTGAATCAGCCCAAAATATTAAAGTAGGTGAATGTTGTGTGAATGCTGTGATATGAAACGTGGATGGCGGTCTTGGATGGGGGTTTATCATGAATCACTAGTGACCGACAGTTGTGGGGAATGCAGGGGATCATGACCTACCTGTCCTATAAAACAAGCTGGAGTAATGCATTGGATACCTCCCAATACTACAACATATTAGTACGGGGGTCAGCCACCAGTAGATTGCGATCTGCCTGTAAATTGCGGCCAGGTGACTGGTGGATCGCCGTCAGAACTTGCTGACCCGCCATCCCAGAGCATCAAGCAGAGTGCAATGCAGAGGGATGACTTGTACAATTGGAGCTGTAGTAGGGAGCAAAGAGCCGCATAATCCAATGTCTTCTCTGTAGTGCCGGCTCCTGTCCCCTGCGGAGTGATACCAACTGCACTCCACCTCTGATCCCGGCTAGCAGCCTCCAGAGTGGGGCCAGCAGCAGGAAAGAGGAGATCTTCAGGCCAGTGTGAGGCAATACACTGGTCATAATAGTACAGGGCTGCTTTCACACTGGTATGCTGCGGCGGTTTACCCACCCCACGGGTGCAGTGCAGTGTACCTGCATCTTTCCTGCGTTATCCATAGACCTCCTGAGGGTTTTTGGTGCGCTCCTGACTGCGGAAGTTTTGTTACGCTTTTAGAAAGTGCACCACACCTGCAGAATATAATAGAAGTCTATGTTTTCCAGCTAACCCAGGAAAGTCGCAGATGCATTGCGCGGTGCAGGTAAACCGCAGCAGATCAGTGTGAAAAGCAGCCATATAGAGGGCTCAGAATAGTAAGGGTAAATATACATTTGCAGTTTGGGGGTTGGTAAAACCCCATAGTTAAGGCATGTTTTTACCACCTCCACCCCAACCGTACCTCCTTTAGGTGCAGTGGCCAGGGGTGTACACATGTCGCAGTGGGAGTTGTACGCCCCTGTCATGGATGGTGGGTGTTGCATCTGACAGGCATGATCCTTTTAGGTCAGGGGTAGGCAACCTGTAGCTCTCTAGCTGTTGTGGAACTACATTTCCCATGAGGCATTGCAACATTACAAAACTGACAGTTACAGCTATGACTTGCAGAGGCATGATGGAACTTGTAGTCCTGCAACAGCTGGAGAGCCGCAGGTTGCCTACCCCTGTTTTAGGTGAATGAGGACGCTCTGCAAGTGCCCTGCAACCTTGTACAGTACAGCAAACAAGGGGTTAAAGCAGGCTGCGATGCGTTGCTTTGTCACCACCTGCTTTAACCCCTTGGACCCCGTAGAAGCATGCAGTTGCGGGGTGCTTGCAGAGTTGCCCCCATTTACTTGAACGCGTTGCTATTGTCAGGCGGTAGCACCCACCAAAAGTAACGGGGGGGGGGGGGGGGTGTGTAATTCCTGCTGTGGCATGTGTACACCTTTGGCTGCTGCCTCAACAGCTAAAGAGGGTAGGAATTGGGGTTGGTAAAACCGCAACTCAACTGCAGGGTTTTACCACCCCCCCAAGTGTGAATGAGCACTAAGGGTGCCGCTGCCGGATGCAACTAAGGGCTTAGTGACGAGTGCAGCAGGCATGGCTGCTCCTCTGAAAAGTGATCCAAGTGTGTTAGACAGGTGGTGAGGTGATATGTTGCCTTCTCACCGCCTGATTTATACCCATGATTGGCATGCAATGCTCATGGTGGTGACAGTACAGCAATCAGACATGAGGAGGGGACACTGGGCCCGGGGATCTGACTACTTCCCATGTTGTTCAGGTAGATCTTCTCCTCTTTGAGGTTGCCTGCCTCTGCATTAGCACATGTGCTGTATTCTCTGTGATTCTGCCCCCCCCCCCCCCCCGATTAATGAATGGGCTAACCAGGGGCGGACTGACAACTCATGGGGCCCCCGGCCAATAGGGCATCATGGGGCCCCTGTGTCCTTGCCCACACTCAAAATAACCTATGAAAAAGGTACCAGGGGCATCTCATGGGGCCCCCTACTGACCCCGGGCCCTAGGGCAATGCCCGAGTTTCCAAATGGTCAGTCCGCCCCTGGGGCTGACCTAATACAGTGCAACCCAATGCATGAATATTCTTGGATTGTGAGAAGTGCAGTTCTTAAGGGGTCCTAAAGATTTAGTAAATGTCAATTTTGGCAAACTTAAATATGCAGACTTTAAAGCTGGCCATACATTGATTGAAAATTGTCAGAATACACTGATCAGCGCTGCAGCCGATTGGCTGCAGAAAAATTGTCCAACAAGTTGGTTCATCAGTAGATACATTTCCTAACATGTCGGTCAATAGATCAGCTTCTCATGAACAGGAAAGGCTGGATGCATTGAAATTCGACCAGTTCCTGCTGAACCGAACAAATTGTGATCCATGTGTGGCCGGCTTCGGGTTGCTTGGTAAATGTTTCCAGTAATAGAAGATGATACAATGTAGCAGATGAGAAACTCTAAGCTGACGGCACCACTAGAGGGCAGCAGAACACTAAGCCTGGCTCCTACCAGTGGGGTGACTGTATCTGTATTCATGTTACATTGTATCCTGGCTACAGGGATAGAGCGTGTATTGTGTTCCCACACCGTGTCTGAGGCTTTGGTAATCCCCGTCATTTGCAAATACATTTTTACATTGTTAAGAGTGAAAGTCTGGCAGAAAACGGAGACTGATTATATTTGATTTATTAATATTGGTAGATCAGCGGGGGAGCAACCTTTTCCATATCAAGTGTCAGTTTACAGGCAACTGACAATTGTGTGCCAGTGAACAACAGAGCTCAGATAAACACCTTCCCACCTCTGATCAGATGCATGTAGCCCTCAGATCAGCCCCAATGCATGTACCTACCTCAGATCAGCCCCAATGCATGTACCTACCTCAGATCAGCCCCAATGCATGTACCTTCCTACCTCAGATCCCAATGCATGTACCTTCCTACCTCAGATCAGCCCCAGTGCATGTACCTACTCAGATCAGCCCCAGTGCATGTACCTACATCAGATCAGCCCCAATGCATGTACCTACCTCAGATCAGCCCCAATGTATGTACCTACCTCAGATCAGCCCCAATGCATGTACCTACCTCAGATCAGCCCCAATGTATGTACCTTCCCACATCAGATCAGCCCCAAATCATGTACCTACTTGGATCAGCCCCAGTGCATGTACCTACCCACCTTAGATCAGCCCCAATGCATGTACCTACCCACCTTAGATCAGCCCCAATGCATGTACCTACCCACCTTAGATCAGCCCCAATGCATGTACCTACCCACCTCAGATCAGCCCCAGTGCATGTACCTACCCACCTTAGATCAGCCACAATGTATGTACCTACCAACCTCAGATCAGCCCCAATGCATGTACCTTCCCACCTCAGATCAGACCTAGTGCATGTACCTGAATACCTGGTAGGCTTTAGGTAGGTGGGTGGTTGATGGGGGGGGGTGAAAAAATGTGGATCAACTGCCAGTTTTTACTGCTCCTGTGCTGTCCATGTGAAAGGGGCCTTAATGCATGCTTCTTCACACCTCAGATAACCCTTATTGCATGCACTTGAAGACCTCAGATATATCCCGATACACGGGCATTTACTCCC